TATATGATAAATTATAATTCAGGACTAAATATCCTTAACACCCTGCAAGCTGCGCGTCGGATTTGAACGAACGTGAAACTTGAATCTGAAAAGTTTAAAGAGAGGTCGAAAAACACTTTTTGTGAAGATGTCAGTAACCTCGTTCGTAGGAGACTTCTGGTTGGGTGGCATAGTATTTTCTTGGTCATCGAAAACTACAAAGGGATTGTGATCTTGGTCAAGCCTAGAACAAAAAAGTAGGGAGAAAATAGAAAATCTCCCTAAGAACTCCATGAGGTGTGGACTATAAACACGCAAGGTAGAGACTTCAGATTTAGGGCAATGACTATGAGAAAAGGGCCCAAGAAAGGGAGAGAGGGTTCGATGGTGGCTATAAAGAAAGAGAGGAACAATAGAGGAAGAAGAGGGCATAAACTAATAATGCAGACTCTGGGGTGTCTTTTAGACGAAGAAAGAAAAGAGGGGTATATCTTGAGCATATTTTAACTAACTAATAAAGAGGCCATCAAGAGTGGGTGAAGAGCCACAATGATAGATCGAGAGACAAGATTTAGTTCACAAAACCACCATTGTCAGGAGTGAAAGCCAATGACGGAGCAGCAGGTAGAGCAGATGGAGAAGTAGCTGATGCCATAGCAGATGGTGAAGTTCCAATCGTCAAAGATGGAGCCACGCCCTCCGAAGCAAGAGACGAAGGCGGTGTTGAAGCCGGAAGAGTCGCCACAGTGGGCGAAGGAGCCGATTTTGGTGAAGAGGCTGGCGGCGACCTGGTTGGTGAAGAGGCAAGTGCGATGCCTAAATTTCAAAGGTAAATTTATGCAAAAGATCGACGAATTTGTCGAGATTCTGTATATTTCTGATGAGAGCGATGATGAGGATTCTGAGGGTAGGGTTTTTGTGAAGGATGAAGGGCCAATTGGAAAGAAAATGAATGAGGCTATGTTAGCTAAAGGGAAACCGATTGTGTTAGAGAAGGTAAGGTTGCATGTACTGAATATGGCGAAAGGAGCTTGCAAAGGATGATTTGGAGCCAAAAGGGTGGAGCCAAAGAGTAATCAATAGGCTCCGTTTGTAGCAGCCATGACGATGCCGCATGACGACTGCCTTTGCGGCGTCAAAGCCAACAGTGGTGGTGGAGAAGAAATGGGTAAAGGATTCAGAAGCTATTGAAAATGTAACGGGAAAGAAAGAAAGAAGAAGAAAAAAAAAAAAAACTTAGTCGCCAGAAAACTTGCGAGCTTTACGGCTACTGCCGAGTTTCGCAGACCCCACGCGAAACGACGGTCACACCACGCCTAGCCTTCAGCCCACGACTCTCAGCACCTATCAGAGTACCGGCAAAGGGAGAAAAGAAAGAAAATACGAGAGAGAGATTTCGGATAAACGTCGACGAGTTTCCAGTTTCTCCGACGAACCCTTAAACCACCCGAAAACCGACACCAAACGATCAGTTACCACCACGAGAAGGATCCCTAACGAAAGAAAAATAACTCAAGGTGCGTTTTGTGCTTTTTCGTAAGCGTCGTCGTCAGTAACCGAGGTCGGAAAATTGGGTTTTCCTAATCGTTCTTAGATTTGTGGTTTTAGGAACTTTGAGGCCGCAAAACTCCCAGAAGAGAAAGAAGGACGATAAATAAAGAGGAAAAGGAAGAAAGAGGACCGAAATCGGCAACGGAAACGCCACGGGAAGGAGAGAGAAAACTCGCCGGAAAATCAGCCGAAGTCATGTAAGGAAGACGAGATCCACGGATCTGGGTCAACCCGAACCCAAAATCCGAGGGAGCCAACCCATTCTTTCCCTCGGCCTCTGCCTTCGGCCCAGCTCAACTACAGCGGCCCAAACCTCAAACCAGCCTAGAAGCTACAGTTCAGTTGAACCAACTCGAGACCAGACCCACGGTCCAATCGAGCTGGCCTGCAACCCAAACACTTGCGGCCCAACCTAGTAAGCCGAGGCCCAACGATTAGTCTTGGCCCACTAGCCTTCCGTAGCCCGCGATCCGGACCACGACTCGAACCGGACTGCGACCCGCACTTCGACCCGACGCTATCGCACGATGTGGCTTGCTCTGCTACTGTCACGTGTCACACAGCGGCACAGGAGGTCCCTCGGCTCGGCTCGGTGCAACGGCTCGGGCTCCCTCCGGTGACGCTCCGGCAACTCCTCCGGCGGCTCCCAGCGGCTGTTTGATTCGACTCACTTGTTTCCAATCCGATTTCCACTGTTTCGACCCTCCCAAATCTGTTTTTGGCTTTGATTAAGGTATCCGATGCCATTTTAGAGCTATATTTCACATTTATTGAATTATATGTAAATTAATTATGAAATAGAAAGTGGTGAACAGTGTGATAGGAAACAAACCCTGGCAACGTAGGAAGCAGCTCTCACGAAATGGGAGCTTACGTTTAGCTATTTAGGGAGCACTTCGGCCAAGGCCAACCAAGTAAGTGGCCTTACTATAGGGTAGGCTAAAAATTGTATGAGTTATGATGATGTATGAACTATGTCGTACGATGCGGTACATGAGTTATGATGATGTATGAGCTATGATGATGTGTGGGTTACGATACTTGATGACGTGTGCAGTATATATATATTTTGATGAATGACGTACTTGATATGTTTGATGCACTTTGTGGCAATATGATGAGTATGATGTTTGCATGACGTTTACCTTAATATGATGATGTTTTCCATATTGAGCATGCTATATGATGGTAAGTCCCACATTGCCTCATGTCGTTAGATCGACATAGGACACAACCCTAAGAGCGTGAAAATGATATTAATATAAATATCCACGAGTATGTGTTACCTAGAGTAACAAAGAGATGAGATTAGAAGGTTGTGTGAGAAGAGACATTATGATGGATTTAGAGGGACCTCATGCATATTGTATGTTCATAAGCATAGGGCTACGTCCCATAGAGATGATGAGTGCGGACGCGCACCATATGATGAACGCGAATGTGCACAAGTGCGAATGCACACAGATGAGGGTGTTCATGAGGCGCATGACACTATGGGGTTGCGCTGACCTCCGGACGTTGCTACAAATTAGCTTGACCAGAGGGTCCAGGGGGTTTGCGAGCGCCCTGAGGATTCACACTCGCACGTGTGAGTCGTGTGTAGGGAAGTACTACACATCCAATTTGTTCGAGACTGGAGGCCACCCCTAAAATGATTAGAGATAGATCCCTAATTCATGATTGCATGTGTTTGCATTAGCATGACCCTATAGTAGGGTCACTTACTAAGTATTTCTTGAAATACTCAGGCCGTGTGCCGTTTTGTTTTTCAGGTAAAGGCAAGGCTCCCATGTACGGTTGACGATGACATCGTGATCAGAGACTGTGGCGCGTGCATAGGATAGTTGCATATTTAAAATTCCTAGTCTTGGTTAGGATAGGGCGTTTGCATTTCATTCATTTAAATTATTTAATTTGTAATTGATTTTTTTTTTTAATCTTTATTGAACTCCAGCATGATGTTTGAAACACGTAAATCCGGCAATGTTTTCTAATGTTTGAACGTATTTTGAAGTTTTAAATTTTTTCGCTAATAAAGATGAGCATTTTTAGATTTATATTCTGCATTAGAGATGAGCATCAGACGTTAGTGGCGACTCTAAATATGTGGAAATTTAGGGTCGTTACAGAAAAGAAAGGATCAAGGTTGATAAACAGGAACGACTCTATACCATAAGAATATTTGTTAAAACTACCCCACTTAAATAGTGGTGAAATTCTTTATTTATAATCATCAAATAAATTACAAAAGAATGGAAAGAGTAATAAATAGATACAAGATATTTATATAATAAAAAGACAAATATGATTATGGTAAGTTGATGGAACACAAATATTGAGACATTTGTCTATAATAAAAAGATTAAATATGACATATATGGTAAACTGTAATTAAGGAATAAATATCCTTAAAATGCGTGAGCATGTGCTAGCGTGTAGTTAGACTTAGGGGTACGTATATAAGATCACCTAATGGGTTCATGCATGTATGCATAACCCGCATGTAGAGAATTACTATGCATGCAATCCTACTAAAAAAGAGGTAAGTCCAAGAAATAGTCATGAAAAGTAGGTTCTACCATGAACCATTATGCCATGTGATTGCATTTTCGACCTAAATAGTGGGGTCACTTACTAAGTATTTTAAATACTCAAATCTCGTTTAATATTTTTCTACGTAAAAGAAAGCACCCATGAATGATAATGCTTACCGAGGAGGCCATGTAATCAAGTCATGACACTTAGCTTTTATAATGTTTAAATTGAATGTTTTTAATTGATTTTCCACGCCTAATAGTAATGACATGCAAGTAATAAATATACCTAAGTTAAAAGTTCATTTTACCTTTGTAATTATATCTCATACTCTAGTATCACTAATTCTCTAACGAATACTGTGTTTATGATCCAACCATAAACTAAGTCGCTCTCAAGCTTGGGTATGCGATACTAGGGTATTTAAATATGAGATATTGCGGTTCTCTCTACCATGTCAAGAATTTGAAATAGAGGTATACGATACAAATGAGTCCAATAATCAAATGGTTGATCATCTGTCTAGACTTGTGTAACTCTTGGGTCCATTTATCTGACCAAATTTCTAGTTTGCAACATCCTAATGGAAGAAAAAAATCTTCCGTCAAGAAAAGAGTTAAATATGAGATAATTCCTTTTTGTTTAAGAAACGTGTTGATAGTATACTCGAACATGAAATGTAATCTATACTGGAGCAATGTCATGCATCTTTGTAGGGAGGCCACTTCGAAGCTTAAACAACATTAAACAACATCAAACAACATCGAAAATATTTAAAATACAATGCTTTTCTATACAATTTGTGATAGGTAAATTATAAAAACTAGATTCTCATTAAATCCGTTATTTTCAAATTTCTTGTAAAGAAATGCAACAAATTATCCAAAAATTTGCTCGCATTTAGCATACAAAAACGGACAAGATTTAGTTCTCATAAGGAAATGATAGCGTTTCGCCTCCTCCAACTCCTTCTGTTCAATGACGTTAGCCGTTTTCTAAAACCCTAAAGCCTGCACCTGTTCCTCTCGGTCTTCCATTTCTGGGGGACTCCACGCCTTCCCAAACTCTATCAACTCTCCGATTATGGCAGCATTTCAACTCTCTAATCTATCAACTTCCTCTATTCCCCCTCAGTTCTATCACAACCCATCCTGGATCTCTTCCTCTTCTAATTGCAACCGAAAATACCACTCTCGAAGACACCATTTTGGCTTTGTTAGCTGCTCATTTTCACCTATGGAGTCCGCCAAGATTAAAGTAGTGGGAGTTGGTGGAGGCGGCAACAATGCCATTAATCGCATGATTGGCAGCGGTTTGAAGGTGCGTTTTCCCTTCGCATTGTATAGACTTCCCTTGAGGTTCAATGCTTCGAATTTGAGGGCAAACAAGAGTGGAAGTTCGTGTTGATTTGCGCATTTTTATTCTCTGAATTCCGTTATTGTTAGAAGTTCACCCATTTAATCGTTGATTGCATCCACAAACCAACTTCATTACTTTGTGGAGCTGGGAATGCTTCGAGTGGCTTTGCAGTCAATTTTGAGTCCCTTCAATTGTATAACGATATGTTTGTCTGTTTGTACTATCGATATAATGTGTGCCCAAATTAATATTGGTTGCCTAGTTGGGTACAATGGAGACTGATGGCTATGGTTATTGAGTTTTGTGTTAGGGTGTTGATTTCTATGCCATAAACACGGATTCTCAAGCCCTAGTACAGACTGCTGCTGAGAATCCACTTCAAATTGGAGAGCTTCTGACACGTGGTCTAGGTCAGGAACTTCGCCTTCTTCTTTTGGTTCTTTTGGCCTTTTGGGGTTTTGTTCTATGTGACTAAGTAGCCTTGTGACCTGTGTAGTGATGCCTATTGTGTCTTCGACTTTCGTTGATTTGTTTCTTGATAGAGATGCAGGTACTGGTGGGAATCCACTTTTAGGGGAACAAGCGGCAGAAGAATCAAAAGAAGCGATAGCTAGTGCTCTCAAGGGCTCTGATCTTGTGTTTATAACGGCGGGTATGGGTGGAGGCACTGGGTCCGGTGCGGCCCCAGTTGTTGCCCAGATTTCCAAAGAGGCAGGTTACCTGACTGTTGGTGTTGTTACTTATCCATTCAGTTTTGAAGGGAGAAAACGATCCCTGCAGGTAGGTTTCTTCCTTTTCTAAAATGACTGCATATTTATTTTTTGACTTCCTTAGACAATGAATTTAGCTTCTTCCCTCCCTCCCTTGGGTTCAGATTCTCTTAGAATATGTGTGATTGAACCCTTCAAATTTTTCTGTGGTGTGCATCGAAGTATGTGGTGTTTCTTTTTGCTTTGGTAAAAATGGTAATGGACTAAATAAGCGGTGGCCTTCCGTTGCTTTGGTTGGTTGGTTGCAAGGTTCCGAATGAGCTGGCTACCGTTTTTACATTATGTTTTCCTGGAACAACTGTTATATTTGAATATTACTCCATTTTGATAACATGGAGGATAAACCCATTTTCATTTAGTTATGCGAAAGATTTTGGCTTCAATATATATTACATTTTAATGTTTACTTCTTGTCAGGCGCTGGAGGCGATTGAAAAATTGCAGAAAAATGTTGACACTCTTATAGTAATCCCCAATGATCGCTTGCTTGATATTGCTGATGAACAGACACCCCTTCAAGATGCTTTTCTTCTTGCTGATGATGTTCTACGTCAAGGAGTACAAGGAATTTCTGATATAATTACGGTGAGAATTGTTTGTGATACATAAATATTTCCTCCACATTTTTTCTTGGTTGATTAGTTTCTTACCCGGAAAAAAAAAAAATACTGATCCAGAATAGACATCTACTTTGGAGTTCGATGGATTGGAGAAGGGGACACAGTGTTGTCAAGAATTTAGAAGTATTAGAGGGAGCTTATAGAAGGAATTAGAAGAATTGCTCCCCTTAAGGATGAAATAAATTGAAAGCTAAAGGTCCATGTTAAGTGAAGTCATGAGGGTGATTTTAATTCTTTTCTCTCTCTCTCAAAGTATTACACCAAGTTGCTAGCATTGAGAGATTGAGCATTCATGTATGTATGAGTCTGAATTAAATGGATTCTTATGAGTGGATAAGAAATTGAGTGAGACAGATTGTTAGTTGTTATTACTAATGCTTATGATTGCCCCTCAACCGTAGCCTCCTGCTGATGGTATTCATTAGTTGTTAATTTGCTTTGGAGGTAGGAAGTGGCTACAATCTTTCAGTTTGACGAAAATTAAAGACTGTCTTTACCATGGCCCACAGGTAGGGAGAAATCGTGTGGCTGATGCCCTCTATTTTAAAGTTTTTCCCAAGTTTAATGTTTCAAAAAAAAAAAAAAAAAAAAAATCCCAAGATAAAAGGGGATCTTGAGTGTTTTTGTTGGAGAGTATTGTAAGAGGACTAGGGGTATCATTGATTCTATTATTGAAACTCACATATTTGTCTTACATATTGAAGGGGAGTAGCTGTATAAGGTTATTTTATAAATCTAAAGATGAGCTTGGCAGAACAGTTGGGTTATTTATCAATATAAAGACGAGCTTGACAGAACAATTGGGTTATTTTTATCAATCTATGGATGAGTTTGACCGAGCAATAGGGCTTATTTATTTATTTATTTTTTTTTTTGTCAAGCTATGGTCGAGCTTGACAAACAGTAGGGCTATTTTATCAATTAACGGATGAGTTTGACCGAAAAATATGGTTATTTTGTCATTCTGTGGATGAGCTTGACCACAAAATAGGGTTGTCCAACAAGTCTACAGCCTACAGATAAGTGAGTCTATGAGGGGACTTGTTCATGCCTACAATGAACTTGAGATAGAACGATAGGGTTGTTCGAAAGTCCAATATTCTTGTTCAAGGTCATCTCTGGATGAGTAGACAGAATGATAGGGTTGTTCACTAGGGCTATTTTATCAATCAATGAATGAGTTTGAAAGAAGAATAGGGTTATTTGGTCAAAGCTGTGGATAAGTTTGATAAAAAAAAAGATAGGGTTGTCCAACAAGTCTACAGTCTATAGATAAGTGAGTCTACTGTGGGTATTGTTCATGTCTACAATGAACTTGACTAAACGATAGGGATGTTCAGAAAGTCCATTATTCTTGTGCGAGGTTGTCTCTTCACATCCCTTGTCCTCCTTAACTAAAGGAGGGGAACCAACTCCATTGGGTGAATACAAACTATATTTAGATTTTGTCATGAAAATTCTAGATTTAATACCCTGCCGCATGCAAAGATGGTGCAACGAGAGTTTCCTTCTTCAATCAATGATTTAAAAAGGACCAATAAAGAGTGTAAGGAAGGTTGTAAGAGAATCAACACTCTAGAGAGGGAGAGTGTGTGAGGTCTCTTGTGGCAGGCGTAAGGTAAAAGGTTTGGAATGAGCATGCTACTATTGTTAACACTCATTGGACAAGCATGATCATGATATCCTTCCCTACTAAACTGGTCGATGTTCCTATAAATCGACTTTGTTCTTACTCAACAATATGAACCGTTATTGACTTCAGGTTTTTGATGCGCTCCCAACTGATTTTAGCATCAGGGAGTCTCTTCAACTTTACAAGGAACTCTGTTGCATCTCTTCTCAAGTTACCGACTCATGGCGTGCTCTCAACTAGGACCTCTTTCATTTTTTCTAGCAGTATTCTTCATCGTGGTAGGAGGTCGTGTCACCTCGTTGCGCCTAGTGTCCTCTTGATTGAGATGGTATGCTTTCAAGTTACTTACATGGATAATAGGATGAATCTTCATCCATGAAGACAATTGAATTTTGTATGTGGTCCTTTTGACCTTCTCAATGACTTCGACTAGTCTTTCATATTTTCGTGCAGTCATTAATCCTTGCTCCCTCGAACTTGAAATTATTCTGGTCTCAGCATGATAAACACTTGGTCTCCAACTTTCTTGTGGTTTTCTTTTCAAATCAATCCATTTTTTCATTCGTCAACAATGTGTCTTGTTGTTTTTAAGTTCAGCTTGTTTGAGTGAAGCCATACGATGCACATTTTTGGTAGGTGGTTCTGCCCTTGGTAGTTATTCAATTTCGTGATCTATCTCTCTGCATGGGGGCAAGACTATAGATAGATTTTTTAGTGTGACATCGCGGTATTTTTCTTACACCTGCTCAATCTCTATGTGAATGAAACTCTTGTTTTAATATCTTTGAAGTGTCTATGATACGTTGACCATCTTGGATATCCATGGCCTAGATCTCCACCACAATTTTGAATCTTCAGATAGATGTATAGTTGTCCACTTGACCTTTGCTTCTTTTGCCACAGTGGCTCGAAAGTATTGTTCGAGGTCATAGAAAAAATTATCTAGAGCATTGACATGTGGAATCCCACAAAAAGGTGTAGGCTCCAAGATCTTCACCTTGTTAAATTGGTCTGCGCTCCTTATTGAGGTTTAGTTTTGTGCTTATATTTGCCCGTTCGGCTCTCTCACATTGAGGACAACCATTACATTTTTTAAAAAGGTCTGAGATCATCTAAACTATCGATTTTAGAAGTTGTCTAAACCCTTGACATGTTCCTCCATGTGGGCAATAGAGCCTGTTGAGCTATCCCTATGCTCGAAGCCACTAGATCTTGTGGCTGTCTTTTATGGGTTCAACCCTCAAAATTAATTCTTGGACGGGCATCGGTCTAGGCAGCCAGCTACCATGTCCATCCTATCAGTTTTTGTGGCAATCTCATTTTGACAAGATTTCAAAAATCAAAAACTTTCTAGGACTTGTCACAGATAGAGCATCTACTCTTCGATCTCGACCAACCAGTCAACATGGGACTTTCTCAACTACATAGTTGTGGACATGTTTACTGATTCCACTTATAGGAGTCAACTCGACATTGATACCAATTCTCACAATCACACTCTCTTTGGATTCACGAATTGGTTGTGCGACACTTACTCTTTCCTCGGAGTAAGGCAGCCAACTAAAACTTGGGTTGTCAGTGGCATAAATGACCTATAATTTAGCCTCTACCCTCGTTCTTGGAAAACAGTTTCAGAAAATGGGGTTAGAGAAAGTTTTGGAATGAAATTTAAGAAAGTAAGTGTTGTATGCTAGCAAGCGAAAAGAGACCGCACGACATTGATATCATATAACCTAGGTAAGAAGATTTTGACTACTAGTTGTATCCGTTTATAGTACATTTTGAGGCAAATTGTCTTCGGCAAGTGTAAGACATAAAAAATGGCAAGGAGTCATACTCATAAAATTCTAAGAAAGATCATTACTATGTTAGAATGAAAGACATGATAAAAGCAAGGTAAAAATGTTTGGAATGGGTATGCAGCCACAAGCAACATGCCCCAATAAGCATAACTTAACTGTAACACTAAATAAGGCCCAAATATTTGGGATATTTTTTATGGTTGCTAAAATTATATGACCTAACTTCGTGGGCTTCTATCAAGTTGATCTTCATTAGTCTTTTAGATATATCTATATATGTATATGTATATGTATGCATATGTATATATATATATATATATGTACATGTACATAGATATATCTATATATGTACATCTAGATAGATATATCTACATGTACATGTACATGTATATGTATGTACACACACACACACACACACACATATATATATAAATATCTATATATATGATATATATAGATATATATTATATATGTATGTACATATATATAGATATAGATATTATGGTATTTGGAGCCAACCCCGAGACATACTTGTAGTTGTCCACGGGTTTGGACCTTAGAGATATTAAGAAGAGTTTTCCTTGTTAAATTTACTTGAAGATTTGAACATGGAATCTTTGGGTAGGTGTTACTCGGAGACCACTTGCAACCATGCCGCCCCTTAGGGGAGTGTTAGAGAACTCATAATAAACATATGTAACATGGGATCTTTGTTGTGCTGGTGCATCGCAAATCTTTGTTGGGGGCCTCAATTATTTCCAAGTTTTTTGATTTATGTTATTTTATATCAATATTATAAGTAGCTTTAGTTATTGACTTATGATGCCATAGGTATCAATTATATCACGTTTTAGAGTCGGGGGGTATTCAATCAGGAAAAGTACGCATTTGTGTCATTACTAGTTGCCTATTGTTTATTTTGTCTTTGCTTCCTCACTTTCTAGATTCCGGGGCTGGTCAATGTGGATTTTGCTGATGTGAAAGCTGTCATGAAAGACTCGGGAACTGCAATGCTCGGAGTTGGCGTCTCCTCCAGCAAAAATCGCGCAGAAGAGGCGGCTGAGCAAGCAACTTTGGCTCCCTTGATAGGATCATCCATTCAGTCAGCTACAGGAGTGGTATATAACATTACGGGGGGAAAGGACATAACTCTTCAGGAAGTGAACAGAGTCTCTCAGGTTATGAACTTCTTATATGGATTGTTTGATAATCTATGTCAGTCAATAACTTGCCTAGTTGACTTATCCGCGTGAAATTTCTTGAATTGTTTTGAGTTTGAGTACAAACTGATGTTTTTGTTGGGGGAAACAAACTTGGCAGGTTGTGACAAGTTTGGCAGACCCATCAGCAAACATAATATTTGGGGCAGTTGTGGATGATAGGTACAGTGGAGAAATCCATGTAACCATAATTGCAACAGGATTCTCTCAGTCCTTTCAGAAGATACTGTTAGCTGACCCCAGGGCTTCAAAACTTATTGATAAAGTGACTGGAGGAGATCAAGAAAAAAGCAGCAAGGCCTCGTCACCCCTCCGTCTCGACTTATTGCCTGCTGCTGCATCACCAACGCTTAATCGAGGTCGAAGGCTCTTCTTTTAGCCAAATATTCCTTCTTGCAAAAGTTTCTCTTGCCTTGGGAAAGCGTTGTGAATCTCTCTCTCTTGTATATGTTATGCTCGTGCAAGTTTAGTTGCTTCCACTTGAATGACGACAAAACAACCTTATAGGCATCTCCTTCTCGCCTGCTAATTGCTTACCTTGATTTGTAATCAGCAATTTTCGTCATTTGAATCAATTCAAAGTTTAGTTGATTTTGTGTGTCGTTTAAAAGATTATGTTAGTGCTATTTTTATCTATCAAGTTATCAAGAGAAAGTCTTGAATAAGACTGTCTTATCCACTCGAGTAAATAGTAAATTCAAACGAACACACAGTCACAATATTTTTTAAGGAATCCAACTATTCTTCAAAATGATTCGTTTCAATGGTCTGACAGTGATAATTACAACATGATCACTCATGTAGCTGCACAATCTAGGCGCTTGATGTGAACATTTAAAATAACATTAAATTTAGATTCACAGAAAGAAGGATAGCTCGGGTTTTGGGATGAATGAAAACAGATCTTCACCAAAGAGTTGAAAAAGAGAAATCAGCAACAGCCCAACATCCAAATCCTCCTTCCATGCTACAGCAAGAGTAGAAGAACCCTTAACATCTTGTTCACCTCCAACTCCTTCCCTCCCTGGCTTCATTTCATTTGGAAATTTTCGAGCTACACCGACATTGGGACCTCCAAGTGGTGTGGAGCTTGTAGCCCCTTGCATATCGACCATCATGGAGTTCATAGGAATTGCACCCAATGTGCTATCTGTTGCCATCTTTTTGAGTGCTGGTTGATGCCCCAAGTTGTCTACACTAGATCTGCGTTTATCTACGAATAAAATGCAGGTAGAGTAAGAAGTCAGAAGTCGATGATGGAAAATTAACTTAGTTTTATGACAACTTCTATCTCCATCATTGAATCTCTTAGTACCCCATCCATCCAATTTCCAGAAAAATGTACACACAAACCAAAATTGGCCTTTATAAAGAAACAAAAAAACAAACTTGTTAACGACCATGTCATTCATGCAGGCATTTAGGAACATCACCAAATTCTAAAAGCAGTATGGTTCATGCATTTGCATCAGATTCCACGTGAAAATTGTGATCTTTAGAGTTTGAGTAGGGGGAAAAGATCATACTTGAGATTTTCATCATGACTTTCCCATTGATCTTCCCATTAATTTTCGAAGTACTAGGTATTGGTGGAGATATAGAAAGAGGAAACACTTTCAACCAACCACGGATGCATTTACCAGCTGCATGCTAGGAGAATATGGGTTTTGTTAGCTGAAGGCTAGAAATATGAACTAAATCGAAAGACAGATGATGAAACTTGAACCAAATTGAAAGACAGATGAAATATGAACCAACCAGTAAGGCACTATAAACTAGCCAAGCTTCATGCCTCCTAGTTTCATTCTTTTGCTTCTCCATCTCTAGATATTGCAGATATGGTTCAAGATTTGGTAGTATAAATTGGCGCACCTATTCAGCAGTCAAGACAGACTCAGTTTCAGCTTACTAAAACCCATACATCAAACTAGGGGAAAAAAGAATCCAAAATGAGATTTCTTTATAAATGAGAAATCTTTCATTCTCGATTCAAACGTGAAACTAAAATAATCATGTTGATAGACTCTATGACATCTCCCTTCATGATACATCAAGTCATTGGCAAATAGATTTACCACAGAGGGTCCAAGATCTGCTAGCCCTTGAACTGCACCATAATGCTGGGGTAATAATTTTGAGGGGTCCAAGAAAACATGGAGAAGAGTCTTGGTTACACGAGGTTGAATATTGTGATAAACATGTCCAAATCTGCAACCATAATAAGTAATATAAAGAATACGAGGAGAAAAAGAGATATGCAATAAGGAAATAGATGAAGAAATCCAGCATTCCAGTCCCCGTAATGAAGTTGACGGGTGCATACATATCTATCTGTGGGTTTTTGCATGAATTTTATACCATACAGAATGCATAACCTATGTTGGAAGAGGGAAAGCCAGAGTGGTAGATAGGAATATGGTTTCCTATTCAAGCAGAAGCCAGAGCATTTGAAATGACGGATATTGCAAGGAATTTCAACCTGCTTTTATTGGAATTTCTTTGACACAGATATTTGTTATAGAAAAAAATGTCATGGTATATAAAAGGAAAAACAATCACCTTTTGCATATCAAAGAAACCAGGCTTGCTGCTAAGTCTCTAAGCTCCCAATGATTGTCAGAAAATCTTTTACCTAATTGTTTTGCAACAAGGCAGGTAATGATGGATGGCATCAATTGGTGTAACTGGAGAAAGGAACAATAGACCATCATAACATATTTATCTGTTCAAGTAGATACCAACATTAAATCAAAACAACATGAAACCTTCAAAGATGGACCATTTTAAATTTTTGTAACAGTAGAGATCCAATCAACAAAATTCATAACAATTGCAAACATAAGCAGATAGATTGACCATACTACCATGTACTTACATAAGGTGCCACATATATCTGCCGATTTTGAAGAAGGCACCATATCATCCTCATCAAAGAAATCAAGAGTTGAGAATTACTTAAATTTTTTGAAACCTAGGATGCAGGAACCATCAGCCCAACATGAGTGAGAAATAGATCAACTGTGACAAATGTCAAGAATGGAAAATAAGAAAACATCTATGACATGGTACCTCGTCCGCGATGAAGCATGCAAAGTATGGAACCAAAGGTTGAATTCCTGAGTCCACTGCTAGGCTCCTTAAAGCTTCTCTAAAGGGAATAGACCCAGACTTGTTCAAGGTCAGGCCTGTAATTTTCTCAAAGTAAAGCTGCAAAAGAAAAAGGTATGAAAACTCTTTTCTCAATACAGCTTAGGTAATTTCATTCTAAGATAATGCACCTGGAGATCCCTCGAAATCACATTCTTAGTAGGTGCTTTAGAGTCGTAAGGAAGGTCTTCCTCCTTCAAGTCAGATTTCTTTCCATCATGGGGTTCTACAAGCAATGTCAATAAACAATCCAAATAACTATGCAGCTTCTGATTTTAATAGGGTAGGTTCTATGGTCAAATGAATACCAATGCACCACAGACCTAATTGTCACCACACCCAAAAAAAAAAAAAAAGAAGAAGAAGAAACAAAAAGAAATCACACAGCACATGCGGAGAAGCCACCTTCAGTTGGCAAGTTTTCTGCGACTGCAGGCTGAACACCTTCAACTGCCAGCCAGTGAGCAACAACGGATGTCTCAACAGTTGCTTTAGATAAAGGTGCCTCAATAACCTGCAAAGAAGTGTAAACACAAGCGTTAAAGGAACTTATGCATCAAATGAAATGAAGCATTTGACGGTTACATAGCTCTTACATTATTTAACTCCACATCCTTGTCATCAATGTAAAAGAGATCCTTGTGTCCAACAGCCCTTTTGAACCGTAAAGTATCGCATGCAGCAAAACCATATATTGGCTAAGGCGAGATATTCATAGATAAAAACAGGGGGCATTAGATGTTGGCCATACGAATCCAAATAGAAACTACTGTATAACACATTCAATACAGAGCAAATCAAAGGTTTTGGTATGCACGAGCCGATACTAATACTAAACGAAAACGTGGATAGAGAACTCGTTTGCTAAATATTAAAAACGAATAAGTAGCACCAACAAGTTGATGGAATAATAGAAATTATAATAACATCATTCATTACAAAACTTAGTATCAGAAAGTGGAGAAACTACTGAAAAATCACGACCATTCAAGTTAGATATTTATAAAATAACTTATGACTTACTTCTCAAAATCACTAGTGAGTAAAAAAGGGCTAATTAACTAACACATCCAAAATTAAATTTCTTAAACACAAAATGAGCAAGTAAAAATCACGAAAAATACCCAAATCAAATTCCAAAAGGATACCATATTAATATGAACACAAATAGAGAAAGAGAAGACAGCATCTCCCTACAATACCGTAACTCACCTCTAAGTTCCTTAATTTAAGTGCGTTGTCAACATCCATGGAAGTGAGAACAGTTCGCTTCGAATGACGCATGCATTTAACTGCCTCCTGCATTTCAATGACAATAGAAACCAAATAACCTTCAGATTCTAAAAGCCCTAGACACCATTAACAATGCCATGTTTAGTACTGAAAGCTTCCGAGGATGATGAAACAAATCCTAAAGGATACACTTAATGACGAAATATAGCATTATACATCTTACTTCCACTGAATTGCAACATCAAAATTGACCAGAGTACATACTAATCGTATCTAACCGAAGAAGAAAAAAAAGATCTCCAGCAGCGACGTAATTGATATGCTTCTATCTAATTAAGCATAAAATTCTCAAAGAAACGCCCAATCGGTAATTTCAGTAACAATACCTGCATGATTTCACGGACCCGGTACTCGACATCTGGAGTGAGCGCAAGAGCAACCTCAGGGGATAGGTTGGAAATCCCAATGCTCTGCGCAACGACTTCAATCGTCTCCTTCGGAACAACGCTCATATTATCAAACAGTTTAGATGTTCGAGTTCGTTCTATACAATGTTCCCAAATCAATACAACTTCAAATTGTTAGGTTGTGGAAAACAAGCAAAAACACCGAAGGGTGTGGAAGTTGCAGGAAGCTCACATAGAGTAAAGACGAAAGGAAATTTGGGAACTGAAAGCACAAGAACTTTACAACTTCAGGATTTAACAATGAGGGATACAATACCGCAACCGGAGGAAGAGGTGAGAGGTTGGTGGAGTTTGATTGAGGAGGCTTTGTTTGAAAGACTTAAATTTTATTTATTTATTATTTTATTATTTTACTTCAGTTATTACTCCATATGCTTGTAAAAGAAACTATTTTAATCTTGTACTAACTCGGATTCTTGTCTATCTAGAAAGGTTCGTAGTCTAGAACGTACATCAAGTCAGTCTAGTATTTGTGAAGCATGGATACGTGTCATATGTTATGCATTGCGAAGAGGGACGGTGGTAGCATTGATCTGTATGTCACTAGCATGATTAGTTCTTTGTATTCAATAAATAGTCGCACGGTTAGACCATATCCTCTTATCAAAGCTAATGTGCTCAATTGAAAACGCTAAGGTGTCAATACTAATGCTAGAAAACCTCGGATACTTAATTGAGCCTTAATTTTTAACTTTCTCACTCCCCTCAAGGTGACTTGCTTTCTTCTTTTAACATTTTTTTACAGGGTTAACCCCTTTTTGACCTCATTTTGTAGGGAAGATCTTGGTTTAGAGTTTTGAGTTATTATCCCTTGGACATCCCCCGAGAGACCTGTTGGGTCCTTTGCTTAGTGAACAACTCAATCCAAACCTATGTTCGAGGCTTCATACATTCCTCGCGACATAGTCTAACACTTGCATCCACGGCTTCATGTGTTCCGCGTGATACAATCTGTGTACCTATGTCCAAAACTTCATGTGTTTCTTGCGGCGTAGTCTGTGTCATAGGACCATGTTGCTCTTGCTTATCGGGAGGCCTTTATGGTATCTCAAGTTCTCCTTCTAAGAGTTTTTTTTTTGTTAAGTCTGGAAGCACAACCAAGAAAAATTTCTTAATAAGTATGTCATAATCCATATGAGTTATAAACATTTGTTTGCATACATAAATATTTCATAAGCATCTTGTCACTGGGTATTCATAAAAACCTTAATTTCCTATAAAGTGTGTTGAGGGGTAGTTACGTACTTTTTCTCTTAGTTCATATCCAAAGTTGTTCTAATCCCGTTAATATCTTACCTACTTACCCTTAATATCATAAATGAGTCTCATATAATTTTACATAATATTTTGAGTATTTTAGGGTATTGAAAACATCTTAGAATTCTCACGGGGTATTTTGGTCATTTACCACCACAAATCTTGGTTTAAATCCTCACCATATTCCAATGAAATAAGGCTCCTCATCAAATTTCATACCATTTGGGAGTCACTTTGGTCATTTGGTCATATGCCAGTGATACATAATTATAAAGGCATTTTAGCCATTTTACATGTATACTTGGTTTAGCTCGTTATCATAAACTAATGATCACCAAATTTCATACATAACCTTATCATGACATATTGAGTCTTCCCCTAAATTTTCATGAGCAACATAATCCATTTAGCAGGTTTGTGGCGTAGTGGAATCAATATACATGTGAACACTAATGTTAGAAAACCTTACTCAATCTTCATTCCAACATTCTCACCTTCTTTAAGATGATTGCTTCGTTCTATCAATTAGATTAATCATTTTACCAACTTCATGCATTACATGGTCCTCCAAGTCAAATTCTCAAAACTTTGCTAAACACAGCAAATGGGTACCTGATCCGGATCCTTACTCGACAGTCTGACGCGAGAAACCCTAATCTTCCTTCGTTTGTTTTCGCTTCTACCACCGTCTTTGTATTCTCCTTCTGACCGCCGTGAGTATGTATCAGTTTGTCTTCCACCTCACACCGTCAGTAGTAGTCACTCGTGTGTACCTACAACATAAATCATGGTTTCTCAGTTTCATATTCAATCTGTTATTTCTGACGACGAAAGCTAGACTAGGGTGTTGTATGTAGTATGAAGGCTTGCTGTAGTGCTCCTTGACCTGTTAAGCGTCTCTTCTACAACGTTATCTACTATATATATTGTGCAATGAGACTCGACTAGGTGATTGTTGGCGTTGTGCTCGTCGCGAGATAAGTCAATAGTCCCTTCCCAGCTGTATCTTGTTATTTTTCTTTGTGGGTGGACTTTTTGAGGTGCGGTTGAAGGTCGTTGGCATATTTTTGGCGTTAGAGGTGTTGGATGATGAAAGTCCCACATCGGTTAATTTAGGGAATGATCATGGGTTTATAATCAAAGCAATACACTCTCCATTGGGGTGAGGCCTTTTGGGAAGCCCAAAGCAAAGCCATGAGAGCTTATGCTCAAAGTGGACAATATCATACCATTGTGGAGAGTCGTGTTCGTCTAACATGGTATCAGAGCCATGCCCTAAACTTAGCCGTGTCAATAGATTGACAAATCCTTAAATGTCGAACAAAGGACTCCAAAAGGAGTCAAGCCTCCTCAAAGGTACGAAGGCAGTCAAAAATGACTAAGACTCCAAAGGAGTCGAGCCTCGATTAAGGGGAGGCGTGCTTTGTTCGAGGGGAGGTGTTGGATGATGAAAGTCCCACATCGGTTAATTTAGGGAATGGTCATGGGTTTATAATCAAAGCAATACACTCTCCATTGCGGTGAGGCCTTTTGGGAAGCCCAAAGCAAAGCCATGTGTTTAAATGACTCGAGAGCGATCAATTCAAACCATGAGTTGGGTTAGATTTTTTTTTTGTTTGGTTGGGTTGGGTTGGGTTGAATTATTGAAAAATCGAAAATTCGGTTCGCAAATTGGAGTTTTTTTTTATGGGATCAACCCAATTAACTTAAAATAGAGTTACAATCCAACCCAACCCTACCTTACTTTTAAGATTATTATAAAAATTAAAAATATTTGATGTTTATGACAGAGGTTAGTGATAAGTTTTGAGTTTTATAAGCATTTAGTTATTAATGTCACAGGTATGGTAAATATAAGTAGGATTTTTTAAAAAATAATTAAATAAAAGAACATCTGTTTGGTTGGATCGTAAACTCTATTCAGATCGTTCTAACACCAACTCTGTTGAAAAAAAATAGATTCTATAAGATGAAATTCTTGATTTAAAAATTTAAAATTAAAGGAGAAAAAATACAAAAAAAATGTCTGGCATTGGTTTCTTCGTGTTCCATGGTTAGTTGTGTGTTCCTGAAGGGGACAGATGCCTTGATCTCCATTGCACTACTTACCATCTTCCATTTCCATTTCCATTCTTGTGCTTTTGCTTTTATCTGATTATGGAGGCGCCTGCGCCCTCCTTTGTTTCCAAAGCCAGGCCTGCCTTCCATTCCGTGGCTCCTAAAACGGACCCACTTTTCTTCCTCTTTAAATCCAATTCACCAGGTGCGCACAATCTCATCCATTCTCTATATTTTCTCCCCCCTTTTTTTGGATTCTTCAATTCCTACTTCTTTCCCCTCTTCCCCATTCCCGCTCTCTGAACCGCTGAAGATTTTCATAAACACAACTGCCTCAGGATCTCCTAAAACCATCCCACCACCACACTTCCGACAATCAACACCAGATAAGGGTACGATTCTGTTTCCTCTCTGTTGGCTCAGTCCAGTTTATTTACCCATTTGTGTTTTTTAGGCTCTTTGTTGTCATGTTCGTTGAAATTCCATGATCCTAGCTGCTCATTCTTTTAGGGAATGTGGAAATCTCTATTTCAACCATCTATGGTCTCATTCATAATCTGAATTTAGTCTCAATAGTTTTTCAACAACAATTTCAGTGTGTATATATCATCCGTAACAGACAATTTCCAAAGTGGATGTTATGAATAATTGCGTTGTTTTCCTGCAATGCGGGATGTTTCAGAGTCGCATTGAGCCAAAGTCCTCGAGGTGGCAACCAGAGAAAACAAGACTGGCAAGATAAATTCAAAAAGTTGAAAATCCAACCATGTCTGTTCCATTTTATGATGAGAACTTGTACATGCTGAACATGAAAAATGATATTGAAGCGAAGGTATTAAACATTCATAAATGTTTGTGTTTTCTGATGTTTTTTTTTCTCAATCTATATAATGTCTGTTGTTCTAAGTCACCCAGCATAGTGTGTATGTGATCAAACTTCCAAGTTGTGATATCATATATAACTTATTTTCGATTAACGAAAATATGGCTCTGCATACTTTAGCAATTACGAAAGGATGAACCTAAATGTTAAACTTGAAGAAAACCCCATAGCATTGGAAAGTCCATAGCTGTCTTTGATCATTATAGTTAGTACAAATAATGTCTTCAGGAGCGATCACTCTAGAATTAGTTATAATCTTTGTGATATAATTGAGATCTGCCTTGTTGAATGGATTTTCCTCTTATACTAACTGATCTCATATATATTTAGAATGCAGAAATAATTCCATCAGTTGAAAGTTTTTTGGCTACTGACAAAGCTAGTATTCCTTCCCTTTCAGTCATAAAGCAGTTGGCTATTGCTATTGAGTGAGTTTTCTTTTTCTTTCACATTTTCAGCATTTCGCTTCCATTCTCTTGTTTTTCTTTGATGTTTTGGTCGATCTTCTATTCGCACAATTATTTTCAACCCCCTTCATCCTTGGTTCTTAAGTGTTGTGCAGATCTCTTATTTCCATTTGAAAGTCTTGGTCTGGGGTCATTTTATGTATCTTCTCCTAAACTATAACTTTACTATTAACGTAGGGCTGGAAAGAAATCCAAGTCAGTGAAGAGTTTGCTTGCTTCATCAGCAGGTTCTTCATCTGCAAAGGGGAAGCCTGGGTTAAATCTATCGACAGTGAGGGCATTAGTGCTTCGTGAAAAGGAGGAAAAGATTTCAACTACATTTCGTCATGATGAGAGAATTCAATCTTTGATCCGTTCACTCTTTGATGCAGGTACATGCACATCCGAGGTGATATGTGATGGATTTACACGAGGAACAATGAGCTATTCTTGTACTTGCATATTTTCATGCAATGATCTTTCACTTACATTGTAATATCTGCAAGATATGCGCAGGGGGAGATTTTCTCAAAAGGAGCATAACTTCTGGCTCAGAGGGCACAATTGCGGCATCCTTGCCCAGAGATATTCATGGTGCTCCTCCAGAGAGCCTTCTTGTT